CACAATTCAGTCTTTATCAATATTTTATACTCATTTTCAAATACTTCCATTAAATCGCTCAGATCTTCTTCTTCCAACCATTTAGTCACTTTTTTATCTATTTTTTACAAATCACAGAACACTGAATAACAGCAAGAACCAAGAACACACGCAGTAAACGACATATACACGTTGTCGCACGTTGCGCATAATTGCGCATGCGGAAGTATTAAGAATATATATTCTTAATTTAAGAAGATATTCTAAAAACCATCACGTTAAGAGGAAAATATTCTTATTCGTTAAGAATATCTATAAAGTATATATTTGAGAATATGATTTTTTCGGTGTACGCTTATGCTACGTTATGACTTTCTCTGTGCGTTGAAGTACTTAACTCAACGTAACGCGTTACGGAAAAGCAGTGGCCCTTAATCTGTGCGGGAATTGATATTTACGAGTGATACTCGAGATACAAGTGAAGTACTGTGATTAAACACAGTAAATACAGTGATGTTTTGAATTAAATTGTGAAGTGTCAAGTGAAATTGAGAAGCTGTTATTTTCAAGACAGACAATCGTCACAAAGAAATACAAACTCGTCGATTCTCTTCAAGGTAAGAATATTTAATCAAACCGTGATACTACTTCGTCTTCGCTTTGTATTTTCAATTTATTTGTCACTTATGTAAAACTCGCATCATCGAATATTTCACTTTGAAGCATTACGTTATAGCCCCCCTAAACGATCAATAATAATTGTACAATATTGTATAGGAAATACACGAATAATTTAAACTTCAATGTAAAATCAAAATTATCAATAATATTATGCAATATAAAATATTATACAATAACATTGACCGTGTAGAGGGGCGCTAGTCTTATGACGCGTCCCTGCCTGCCCGTTGTATCGGACTCGTAAGTAGCGAACTATTTTCCGTTATAACTCGAAAACTAAGCTTCAGACAAAATTTTGCAAAAGACAAAATCGTCTTAGAATTCGCTCAAAAATATGACATTTCAAGGACATCAGGTTATTTCGAATCACCCTGTATATACATATAATCGTACATACATGCACACACTTCACTTTATTTTAGATATTATATTTTTTTTATTAATTTTCTTGAAACTTTTAGAAAAATTTTTTAAACAGTTCAATAGGGACCATACGGAACCCTTTAATGGTCGATTTCAATACTTTACTGACGTGCTCTTGATACGCGTGCGCGAGAAAATGGATCCTTTCTCAAGGTCTATAGAGAGAAGGTTACCTCATGCGCAAAGGGGAACGAGCGGCAAGAGGGGCTAATGCTGTGCGGGGCGAGCGGCAAGAGGGGCAAATGCTGAGCGGGGCAAGCGGCAAGATAAAATATAATTTGGGGATATACACAAAAAACATAATTTGTAAAGTAGTAAAATAAAAGAAAAAATAGTACATATTTAAAAATTATTTAAAAAATAATATTTACTGTTTATATGCATTATTTACAAAAGAAATACTAAAAGAAATTTATTTTTTATATTTAATTGTAAAAACCTCAAAAATTGTCAAGAAATTGAAATTGAAACTGAAATTCATAAATGGAAGTACAATTCTAGGGTAATATAAAAAGCATCATACACAAATTTATTATGATACAAACTCAAATAATGAAATTGTAATATATGTTTCAACATTGCAAATGTGAATATTTATATGATAAAATTTACAAAGTGTTAACAATTTTCAAATATTTGCTAATAAAATATAAAAATTGTATGTATTTAGATAAAAGAAATATTGTTTAGGTTATGTGGGTTAAATTATTTCTTCGGTTTTGTTCATTTGAATATGTTAGGGGAAATAACAAACAAAATAATTAATATACGTACCTTCGATTTTTACTATATAACCTCTTAAACTGACACATGAAAGTCAATAATGAGAGCGAGTGACAGAGTTAGTGTTACGTCCTACATCCTACACGGTTCTTCTTTGCGCAACTTTTTCACGATCAGTCGGTAAAACTCAAAGAGATCTCTAATGGAAATTTGGCCTTTACAAATAAAAATAAAACCATAAAACTCACTAAGATTATTTCAGACACATATCGAAATTTCTGATAAGATAAATTGTCCTTTGAGTTTCCGGCGATGATTACGTCCGCACCGATAAAATTTTATAGCATCTACACTAAATACCACCACCAGGCACCTCGCCTTATTCTCGCCTATCCTTAAGTTCGATTTCCTATTGGAAATCTATCTTTATTACTTTCCTCCACCCTAAGATTTTCTCAAGGATCCAAAATCTTAAGGAATACCTCCCTTCCAAAACCAAAAAATCTGAGTATAAAAGGAAGGGACCCAGCGAGAGTCAGCGGAGTTTTTAGTTAGAGAGTCAGCCAGTTAGTAGAGAGAGACTTTTAGTATTACCCGAACAGTTTGAATATTGGGACTCAGAAATAATTCGCAACATTTTTAAGTGACTGTAAGTGTTTGTAACAAAATAGATTCAGTAAAGTGTCTGTTAAAACTATTCGATCTCTTTTCTCGCGTACAACCTACACCCTACCTAACACCCAACCACCCAGTTATCTCTCTGAATCAGCACTCAGAACTATTTGCTCCAGTGCGGACCACCGCACGTTGTACTTGGTTCTGTATCCCCGCTAATCGTGGTGCGGACCACCGCACGCTTTTAGCCTGGAATTTTCAGATTGACGACATTATCCTTCATACCCAAATCTAAGACGCGACGTGGGGGAATAAAATACCGTGCGCGCCAATTACTTCTCCAGTACACGAGATCGGTTACGGAAGACAACTCAGAATACATCGGTGTTCAAAGAAACTATTTTGACTACAAATACGAGGAGCTGTGCAACGCCTCCGATCAGTTTTCCCGGCGCGAAGGATATAACGCTCATCGGCCGTTGCCCTTCACTCTCATCCCCCTCAGCTGCAATCAGTCTCCGATCGACCCAGTGCGGATACCACTAACTGACCCCAGGAGGATCAAGTACACCTCAAGGCCGACTACACCTGGACTTTAGAATTGGAGATCTAAATACATTTCGAAGACATCCAAGTAGTAAGTCTAATTTTCACAATCACCTCTCTCTCTCTCTCTCTACCTCTCTTTCTCTCTCTCCCTCCTCCTCTCTTGAAAATTGCACGAGGTTTCGCCCCTGGTAAAAGGAGTTAAGTCTCTTGACCAGAAAAGGGAATCACGAATGATTGGTTGAGGCCTCTAACAGCGTAATATCGATCCTTACGATCGTTGACCTGTTCTCAGCCAAGGAAAATCGTTCGGCTCGCGCGGTCGCCTTCTTTCATGCCGACCAGCGAGCAAACACCACAAATTCATACTTTTATTGTTGCGTCTGTCCGTATGCCTGACTCCGCCCCTTTCGCTCCAGGTTAGAACGTAACAATATATTAATGTAAAAAATGTATTTTGAAGAAAAGTTATACTATAATATAAAAATATATAAAAATGTAAATATAAAGATGTGCAAAAAAGTAAAAAAGAAAAACAAATTTTTATAATTTTTGTAAAACTCTCTCTCTCTCTCTCTCTCTCTCTCTCTCTCTCTTCTCTCTCTCTCTCTCAAACACCTCTCCTTTAGAAAATTGCACGAGGTTCCGCCCTTGGTAGGAGTTAATTCTCTTGACCAGAAAAGGGAACCACGAACGATTGGTTGAGGCCTCTAACAGCGTAATATCGATCCTTACGATCGTTGACCTGTTCTCAGCCAAGGGAAAACCGTTCGGCTCGCGCGGTGTTACGTGCTGCAACTTATAGTTTCCTAGATTACTCTTTTTATTCAAATCTTTGAATCTTTTTTATTTTTACTCTTTCTTGATCCTAAACACATGACCCTTCGATAACTGTAATAAACATAAACGCTGTCCCTATGCCTAACGCATATTTTCCCTTTGACAAAACCGCCTCCTTCCAATAAACATTCCGCCGCTACTATTTTCCTACAGCACCTTAAACGAAGATCATTCTCGCCAGTTCAGTTCTCGATCAAAACTCAAACCAGCAACACCGAATAAAGACTTTTTCCACAAACGTGTCCCGATTTATTCTAAATAATCTATTACATAGCTATACGCTCGTAACAGCGGTCGCCTCCTCTCATACCGACCACCGAGCAAACACCACAAATTCATACTTTTATTGTTGCGTCCGTCCGTATACCTGACTCCGCCCCTTTCCCTCCAGGTTAGGACGTAACATTAGAAACAGTTAGAAAAGGAAGAACTTTGAAAGAGAGAGACAGCTACTGTTTGTCGATGAGATCATCATGCTCTCCCCTTCCTTCATCGCCCCTCGCCATCAAGCTGTTTTTAGCTCCCTCCTTCCTTCGTCGCCCCTCGCCATCAAGCTGTTTCTAGCTCCTCCCCTTACTTCATTGTCCCTCGCCCACAACCGGTTTTCCTGAGGTAACCTTCTCTCTATAGATCTTGATCTTTTCTAACCAAGATCTATAGAGAGAAAGTTACCTCATGCGCAAAGAGGGACGAGCGGCAAGAGGGGCAAATGCAGAGAGGGACGAGCGGCAAGAGGGGCAAATGCAGAGAGGGACGAGCGGCAAAAGGGGCAATGATGATCTCATCGGCAAACAGAAGCTATCTCAGACAGCTACTGTTTGTCGATGAGATAATTATGCTCTCCCCTTCCTTCATCGCCCCTCGCCATCAAGCTGTTTCTAGTTCCCCCCTTACTTCATCGTCCCTCGCCCTCAACCGGTTTTACTGAGTAACCTTCTCTCTATAGATCTTGCTTTCTAACAACACTCAGTGTAGCTCATAGACTTAGGAAACCAAAGACAGAGCGTAAACTGCTCTTTTGACAAGGGGGGGTGTGATAATCGACGCAAGGGGAAAGAACAGGTAAATTCGATAATCTTCGGTTAGACTCGGAAACGTTCGACTCATCTGCACACGTGAAGACGTTTAGTGCGGTTAAATTGGTTAGGTTATGGTAAACAATGGTAAATAGTGATCATTTTTATTGAAAAAAAATGAGTTATTGTGTAGTGTCCGGTTGCAAAAACCGGAAATACAAAAAAAATAGTGAACAAGAAGAAAAAGAAAAAATACTAAATCATTCGTTTTCATTTCATTCGTAAGTATATAAACTATTATCATGTTTTAGGTTATATATGAAATTCGTGATTTTAATAATTGAATTATTTGTTTAGATTTTCAAAGAATAATGAGAAGCGGCAGAAGTGGTTCGAAGTGTTACATTTCAATAATCCATCGAAATGGGGTGCTGTATGTTCTGCTCATTTTAAAGAAATGGATTATGACACGAATAATATGCGTCGAACGCTGAAAGCAAATGCTGTTCCATTTGTAAATAATTAATAGAAATTATATATATATTTATATAATGAAATATAATAATGACAATAATGGAATATTTTACAAATTTTCAGAAACTTTAATTTTAACTAAATAGAGATAAGATTATTTGGTCAGAGCTGAATCTTACAATTAGTTCTTTTCAATAATATTTTTGCGTAAATTTATATATATTTTTATATTTTTTAATTTTTTAAATTGTGCACCAAATACTTTCCATATATTTATATAAATAATTCAAAAATATTATTAAAAAGCACTAATAATAAGATGCAACCAAATAGGCTTATTTCTATTTATAGTATGTATTTATGTACATATTGATGCGTTTTAACCTATTATTTTCTATGTTTAAGTTATCTGAAGAATATTCTAGCAAACTTATAATACACAGTGAGGAAAATGTACAAAGTGATGGAGCTAGTGAGTATTGAGATTTATTAAAATATTACATTAAAAATAATCAAATAATTTGGTACTTAACAGCCTTATTCTTTTTTCTTTAATTTGTAATAATTTATGCATATAAGCATGATCTAATTATAATGTTATTATTGTAGATAATGAGCAAATGAAAATAGCAGAGGTTCCTCTATCAGAAACAAGTAATATTAATTCTGGAAAAACGCATCGCTCTACAAGTATTTCTCCTGACAGAATATTAAACTCTCCAACAAAGAGTCGATTACGAGAAAGACACAAACGTGAAATAGCAACTTTAAAAAGAAATTTGGCTGTCACAACTTATAAACAAAAAAAAGCTGAAAAAAATTGTTTATTACAGAAGATATTGAAGGAACTATCAAAAAAGAATCTTATAACAGCAGAAGAAGTCAATATACTGCAAGATTTCAATTCAGGTACAAAAGAACTTATTAAGCAAGAAATACGAAAGCGAAAACAATTACCTATATCAAAAAGTTATAAATCTAGTATACGACAATTTGCTTTAACTTTACATTATTATTCGCCAAGAACGTATAACTATGTTTGTTCTAAATTTTTCAATTGTTTACCACATTCAAAGACCATATCAAAATGGTACCGTTCGTTTAGTGAAGAGCCGGGGATTAATTCAGAAGCTTTAGATGCTATACGTAAATTTGCTAATTCCGTTCCATATAAATTAGTAGGTACATTAATATTCGATGAAATGGCTATACGCCAACATCTTGATTATTGTCAAGGTAAATTCGTAGGTTACATAGATTATGGTAATATCGAATGTGATAAAACAAAACTTGCCAAAGAAGCATTGGTATTTTGTATCGTGTGTATTAATGCGCCTTGGAAGTTACCTATTGCGTATTATTTAATTAACGGCATAAATACGGAACAAAAAGGCAATTTAGTAACGCAATGCTTAATAGCTATTCAGGAAGCTGGATTGCTAATAGTATCGCTAACATGTGATGGTTTATCATCTAATATAAGCATGTTACAAAGTCTTGGGTGCAATATTCACACACAGGAATTAACATTTCAGCCTTGGTTTAAACACCCAGCTAATGACAGTAATGTATATGTATTTCTGGATCCATGTCATATGGTGAAACTAGTGCGAAACGCGCTAGGTACTGTAAAAGAATTATATGACGATACAGAAAACATAATTAAATGGAAACATATTGAGAATCTATATAAGCTACAAGAAGCTGAAGGCCTTCATTTGGCAAATAAATTAACGACTAAACATATACAATATCATAACAATAAAATGAAAGTAAAATTAGCCACGCAGTTATTGAGTTGTTCTGTGGCTACTGCTATGATAATATGTAAAGATAAATTACAAATATCAGAGTTTGCAGATTGTTTGCCAACTGTAAAATTCATAACTCTATTTAATGATCTCTTCGATGTATTTAATTCTAAAAATTTAAGACAATATGATTTCAAGAAACCTATAAATAACGATAATTATGTTGAAATTAATCGAAAACTTTAAGAATGTACAGATTATATCAAATCATTGTCAATTGTGAAAAAACGTAAAAATGTACTTAAATCAAGATTAAAAACTGGATTCCTCGGTTTTTTAATAAATATTAAAAGTTTATTGCATATGTACAAATTCGTATGCACTGATAACGATCTTCTTAAGTACATTCCTACGTATTAACTGCGACGTGAACTAGCCTCGGAATCACGCCAGATCCGAGGGAGCACGCCCAATGGAAATCGGTACTCGAGGCATCGGCAATAACTGCTCGACTCGGTAACTTACGGTATCAGAAACAGATGCTTAATTCGGTAACTCGCGGTACTCCACGCTCGTCGGGAGCAAGGTAACTCGCGAAATCGGCAATAACTGCACGATTCGGTAACTCGCGGTACTCCACACAATTCGGGAGCAAGGTAACTCACGCGATAACGGTAACCGGAAATGGGCGCCAGGTGCGAATAATCGCACCGCGGTATCGGTAACTTTAATAGTTCTCAAAATTTGCTCGGCCGCTCCCCGCTCAGTATGACAGAGGGGCGCAGTTCTTTTACTTAACGTAGATATCTGGAGTGAGAGGCGAACACAAAGACAACTCAATACTTAATAGTTAACAATAATGTATTTCCATAATTTGGCTTACAAGGGTAAAGATGTGCAGCGTTCGGCCTGAGCCGATACGGCGGAGACGGTTCAATGCGGTAGCAGGGCCATTCGCCCAATTACTCGATAACAAGAATAAAGTTAGACAAATACGCAAAATCACGGAGATGCGATCACGATAGTTCGCCGCTGATCCGACTCTATCCGGTAAACACGGGACTTATACTCTGATCATTCGATACGGCCGGTAAAGGCCAAATAAACAGACTTTAAGCGACGGGAGCCCAACGGCCGGGACTGAGATGTCGCGGAACGGCTATTTCGCGGCTTTCCCGTTTCTCGCCGAGACGCGAACTTGGCGGTAACCGCAATCTCGCGGAGAACGTCCCCGGATCAAAATCCGCCCGCAGACATTCACGGTACTTCCGGTACGGTGATAACGCGGCAAACGGTAACGGAGCGGTATCGCAAGAAAACGGTAGCAATCGGTTTCTTCTTTTCTTTTAAAAGACGGTAACGGCAGGACGGTACGGTAACTAAACGAACGGTAACGAAACGGCAACGGGAAAAGACTGTCGGCGCTTAATTCCCACAAGACAGAGAGACTGTTACGCGATATCCGGGGCCGGCTGGACATGCGGTAATTGAGCGTAATTGAGCGCTCACGATATCAAACACTACGGTTAATGTGAGAGACACTACATATTAAACGAACTCACGCTACCAGCCATCACCGGACGGAACTCTACGGCTACCCGAGAGGCGGCTTACAACGATTGGACGTCCTCGGCGTCTTTGGTGTCGTCGGGCTGAGTCCCTGATGTCGTCCTCGCGCACTTGTGTCACACCGAACAGTGACTCTTCTCGGCTCTGCCTCTAGGTCCTTCCAGATTCGCGTCGCCTTCCTGCGCATCCTGCCGATTTTCCGAAAAGGGGGGCCCCTGAGAACCGCCCACAGTTCATCCAGGGCGCCCCCTTCCGCTCACTGTGGTTTCCTCAAGTCTCTCGGCTGATAACGTGTCGGTAAGTCGATGTTCCCGGAAGAGACTGGTTAGGCTGGCCGGGCATACTCCGGTCCCTCCGGGTGCAGCATCTTCGGGGTCCTCGAAGCCGTCTGCAGCCGGGCGAGGTCCGCTGCTGCGTGTCTTTGTGTTGCTTTTGACTTGTGGCTGAACCAAAGCGGAGTTAGATAGGGCTTGGATGGCGGAGGCGACGGAATCGCGGTACCTGACCTTTTTCGTGGGGTCACTAACGCGTGGCCCCTGCGGATGATCCCCCGGTGTCCGGCTTCCCTGGCGATGCTGTCTTCGCCCTGAGGCACAAAACACGCAACGCCGCCCGCACGGGGTCTCGCCTTACAACTCAAAAACGGTATTACGGTACAAAAACAGGAATTACAATACAAACGACGCGCAAAAATTGTGGAGTCTCGCGGGTTGCTCTCTCCACGCGAGGAGCAACACCAGGGCTCCTTGCTCCCTCGGCCGGGCTATCGCCCTTGTGACGGCGCTCGAAAAGCGTCACGTCACATAACTGAGTCAGGACCATTTTGAATTAATTTTTAGTAATTTAAGATCTCATCATGGATATAATAATAATCCGACAGTTAAACAATTTAAATCTGCGTATAAAAAACTAATTATACACACGAAAGTACAAGATAAAAATAGTGGCAATTGTATACTATTAGAAGATATTGCAATATTACATGTGTCATTTGAACAACCAATTAATATTATAAATGCAACGACAGACACATCAGCTTCACAAACACAATGGCTTGATGTTTTTCATATTGAACATAATAATGATCATGATTATTTGTTATCAACACAATATTCAAGTTCTATTACAGAATATAAAATGGAAGTTATTAATTAGATAGCAGGATTTGTATTAAAAAAACTGACAAAAACATTACACTGCACTGTATGTCTGGACAGTTTAATAGGACAATCTGCAGATATACATGTCAATTTAATAAATATAAAAAATAAAGGGCCACTAGTATATCCATCACACGATTTTACGTATATTTGTAAAATAACAGAAAATGCAATAAATAATTTTATACACAGAAATAAAACTTTAAAACATTTTAATATATATAAATTTACATGTAGAGTAATGCAAGAGTTCACAGATAGTAATATATTTGCGAAATTAAAAGAACATATCAATGATCAATATTTTTTCAGCAACCATAGAAATAATTTGTTACGTAGTACTATTATGTTATATTGTAAGACAAGACTATCGCATTATATTAAAACTAAGCAATTAAGCGAAAGACACAAATATAATAAACTTATATTATTCAAAAGTCAATAAAATGTTTCTGCAAAAAAACGATATATATATTTTTTTTCTTTACTCCTTTCATTACATTTGTGTTTACTATAATTAACATTTTTTAGTTTATTTTATTACATACATATACATATATTGTACCTCTTTCTATATATTGTTCTAAATAACATAAAATAAAATACAAATTATTTTAATAAATAGTTTAATAATATTAATGCGAATATTTATCATAAGTTCTCAATTTTTTCTTGGTTTGTAATATCGTGTAATTAATGTTTTGATTCTAATTTAAAGTTTTAAAATTATTCCTATTTTACTTTACGAAATACAAAACACGTCGTGTATTTATTTATATATATAAAAATATGTATTTAATAATTAATTTGTTAAAAAATTTTTTTAATTAAATTAGATTGAAAACCACTGACCACTGGGTGAGATACATACATCTTTCTCGTAACGCCGAATATATTCGAACCGTACCGGAAATATCCGAGTTTGCCCGTTATTCCCCCTTACCGCGTTTATCACCTACCCCGCAAGCTTACGCTCCGTCTATGGTTTCCTAAGTCTATGGTGTAGCCAGATTCTGCCCGGGTTTTCGCGCATGCGTGACGCGGCGAACGCAGTAAAGTGTTTCACTCTAGTAAAAAGGTATGCTATATGGTACCCGTTCAATTTAAAAAATTATTATTTTCTGAAAAATCAATTTAAAAAAAAGTATATTTACGTATAAAGTCGAGGTATAAGAAGAAAAGGATCAAGAGCCGTAGCTGGAGGTAGTTGGCTGTGAAATTCTTCTTTATTCTTCTTATTTAAAAAGATGAATGAGTAGTAAACGTTTCGGTCATCTATCGGACCATCTTCAATACAATCTTAAACCGGCGAAACCTGAGAGTCACTTAAATTAAATCACTGAAAGTCGTCTTCCGCCACCACATTCTTGCATACGAGAGTGTGACAAGTCACCTTTATCATTCGACGTATGAATAAATTAGAAATCAACGATTAACTTATAATTACCGGTAAATGTGAGGCAACATGTGTGAATTTTGATAACTAACCTGTCAAGAGGATTGTGAGCTACTGTGAATAAACAGTGGATTTTGGAAGCGGGAACGGACTGGGCGAAAAAGAGGGAGAGAAGGAAAAAAGGGGGGAGGAAACGGAAATTGTAGGAAAAAAAAGAAACAAGGAGAGAGGGGGAAGAAGAGCAATGAAGGAGGAACATACACTCACCCGAAAAAAAAACGGTACACTGAATATGTGGGAAAAATTCATCAAATTTCAACTGACGACAACTTCGTAAATAATAAAGATAGAAAGTTCTATAAAATATGAAAATAAAGCTTAGAATCTCTACTTTAAGAATCGATTTATTTCAATGTTGCAAGATAAATTTATTGAAAATGGCGGATGACAAAGCGAGAGCATGCAAAATTGAAATAATAATGGTTTGAGTT